CAGTTGGGCCTTCTCGGTGAGCATTTGTGACCAGCAGGAAGGACCCCAGGGACCAGACGGCTGGTGGGGGGAGGAGGGGGTTGTGACGCGCTGCCGCGGTCTTTCATGCAGGAAGGAAACGGTTGGTTGGTGTCACTGAAATTACCAAGGGACACCGAGGCGAGCAAGCAGGGCAGGTTTGGAAGGTCAAGGCCCCTGGGTTTCCAAAAAGAACTGGCACATGCGTTTCAGCACTCGATGCTGCGGGTATTAATGAAAAGACGCAACTCAAGCTCATCTCAGGATCAAATAGAAACCCCTTGAGGTGCCCGCTGGGCCGCACATAACATCAGCAGTGGGCTGTGTCCCACGCCCAGGCCGCGGCCCACTTTACATTCCCACGCTCTCCCCGGTGGGCTGGGAGGTGCGCGGAGGAGAACGCAGCGTCTCTGTCGCCGGGGGCAGACAGCTTGTCTCCCCCTCATAGCAGTCCGTGTAGGGCAGAAGGACACGGCGCCATCCTCTCAGTCTTCACCGTGTGAAGGCCACTGTGGCAGCCCCTCTCACCCTCCACGCCGACCCTCTGCTTCGCCATGCAAGACGCCCCTCTCCGTGGACTGGTCCCCTCCTGATAGCGTGCCCAACAGACTGCTTGAGGCAGTCTGGCCAACCGCCCTTCCAAGAGCATGCATTGTGGTTGCTCTTCCGACCCAGGCTTGTCCGTTCTCCTGGCAGTTCCACGGTCACGCTCAGCCTTCTTCGCCAGCCCCATGATTCCAGCGCAGCCGGCCTTCTGCTCCCAAACGGGCTGTGTGCAAATCGCGCGCCCTACACGAATCCATCCCATGGCGGCCAGAAAGCTGGGGCTGACCGCTGGGATTTCTTTCCCCACCAGGGACAGGAAGCCTTTCAGCTTCTTCAAAGCAGGATGGGATGGGTACCTTACGGTGCAGCAAGGGGCATGCGCTTTGTGTAGATTACCGGGAAGTTCTCTGTAACCAAGAAGCGAGTGAGACCGTTGCAAGAGCCGGATGAGTCTAGCCGGCTCTGGAAAGATGTTCCATTCAACCCGACAGAGGCCGACGCAAAGCAGCCACTGCAGCGCGCAGGCGTGAAGAAAGGCAAGGGGCGGGGCCCGGGGATAGGAGGAGCCGGAGAGCGGCTGTTTCCTGCGCCCGCAGGAAGTATTAACAATATTCTGTCGCTGCATCAGCTTGGTGTGGCCGGGCATCTGGTTGGAAGTGCAAACAAACCATCGCTCTTTGGGAGAGCTGGTCCACCCCTCTCTTAGGGCAGTGGTTCCCGACTCAGGCTACGGAACTCTTCAGTGGCAGATCCAATCCTGACGGCAGGCCTGAGGAAAGCCTCCAGTGTTTGAAACCCAGATGCCCACTCCCTTTCCAAACCTCACACTTAGAAACAACCCCACCGACTCACGGCCACCCAGTCGATTCTGACTCCGGGCCACTATCTAGGACAGGTTAACGCTGCCCCTGTGGGTTTCCAAGACTGCACCTCTTGGAAAACCTCGTCTTTCTCCTAGAGACCGGCTGGCAGTTTAGAACTGCTGACCTTGCTTGGGACAGCCCAATGCATAACCACCTCTACTCCCCAAGGCTCCCACACTTGGGAAAGCCTTTATAAAACCCAGCTTCAAACCCTGCTCTCTAGTACTGCTTTTGAGATGTAGAACATCCGTTTCCCACCTCATAGACAATTAGAGAGTAAATGTTTAATAGACCCCAAATCAGATTCTGCACAATCACTCCATCTACTGCAAATATTGAGTCCTCTGAATGGTTTTAGAATGTTAGTGCCACATACGAAAATGTTAGGGCGATCCATGATCTGGCCTACAGTAACTCTGGAGTGAACTAAGCTGTACCCAACCCTGGGCTGGAGTCCCTGGGGGTGTTGGGTGGGGGGAGGGTGCAAACCATTCAGGCATGGGGCCACTAAATGAAAAGTCTGAGGCTTATCCACCCAGAGGTGCCTCAGGGGAAAGGCCTGGCAATCTACTTCTGGGGGAACAACAAAAATAAACAGCCATTGAAGCCCCTGGAGCACAGCTCTACTCTGACACACGTGGCGTCTCCCTGAGTGGGGCGGACTTCAGGGCGACTGTTCTCGTTTTGTTTTGAGATCCTGGTCTACCGTTTTCAGATGCTCAGGGCTTCTTAAGATTCTGTTTAAAATATGCAAATCTGTCCCATCACGGGCTCAGTGCTTAAGACCCTTCAGGGGTTTCCCGTGTAGCTCAGAGTAGAGCTCCAAATCCCTACAAGGTCCACGAAGGAAGCCCCGTGTGGCACCACTCCTGCCAGGTACCTGCCCTCTCGGGCTCCAGCCACACTGGGCTTCCTTCTAAACCCTGGGCATTCCGGGATCCTCCACAGCCGGGATGGACCCAGGTGTGCTCAGAGCGCTCACATGGCAGGAGGCCTAGCAGTGCCCTGCCAAATACAGAACAGGTTCTTGAGAAACTCAAAGGGACCACCTGTCACTCCCATTGCCTGCATTGCTTCCCTGGGTGGGTGTTGCCCGCTTCCTCGGGGACAGGTGTGTGACATGGATGCATGTTCAGGGTAAGGTGGGGAGGATGGAGTCAGCACTGCCAGTCAGCAGGGCAGGGGCTGCAGGTCAGCGAGGGCAGGGCACAGGTTCTCCGCTCGGCCCTGGGCTCGAGAGTTCACTTGAGCTTCTTCTTCTTCTGCCCGTAGGTGGACGGGGGCCTCAGTGAGCTGGAATGGCTCAGAGCCTATTCTGTGACCCTTCAGTGTGGGTGCACCCCAGGATTGCCACTGCTCACCTCTGGGGGTGACGGCTGGATGGCAGCCCTCAGGGACGCACCTCTGAAAAGAGTGTCATCGCACTAGGACGTGGACCAGTTCTGCTGCAGTGTGCCCGGAGCCTCCTGTCCTTCTGTGAAGGGCTGCCCAGGACCGGACGAGGAAGCCTGGTGTGTGTCACTGCCAAAGGAAGCAAGGAGCATCGAGGGTCTTTGCTGCCTTCTGCTTGGATTTTTCCCGGGTTCCTCACCACCCATCCTCTCTGCCCAGGGGACCCAGACCCTCCTTATTCTGCTTACTGCCTTTCTATAAAGCACGAGTGAAACTTAGACCCAGGAATGAGTCTCGTCTGCTGTGTTGCTTCGAAGGGAACCCACGGTCTGTGCACTGGGGACAGGTGGAGGGACCCCCATAGACCAGGTGATTTGTGGGCTCAGATGTCACCAAGCACAGGTTCCTGTAGGCAAGTGATGTCCTCTCATCCAGCCCTGGCCACCTGTCAAAGTTAAAGGCTCCTCCTGTCTTCTCCTCGGTCCGTACTGGGTGTTAGGCACCCGTGTGCCTGAGCAGTGATGGCCAGGAGCAAGCCAGGCTCTTGGCAGCCATGGGTCACTTGTGCAGCCCTGTGAGGGTTGTCAGCTAGAGCTGACCAGGGTGTGTGTGGAGGTAGTCTTCCAGGAGGGGGGCCTCTTAGCTAAGAGACAATAAGAGGGGAAGGGCAGAGGGATCCGGTGTTGTTCTTCCATGGGGCATGGGGTAAGAGAACTCACTCCACGGGTGGGTGAACCCTATCTGTGGAGACCCTGCCTTTCTCAGCAAGGGTGGGCTAGGCTGTGATGGGGAAGGACTCTAGCCCCACTTGAGGAGGGAACATTAAACAGTCTCAACCTCATTCATGTCATCCGTTTATATCCTACCAATTTTGCAAAGGAACCTGAGAGAATGTAGCAGCACAAGTTTCCCACTGAAACATGGGTCAAGGGATGAGAGCGAGAGCGAGATAAAGCTCAGGTTACCTGTACTACCTGCAACAGCCAAAGGGAGAATACAACCGTCCCCCAAACAGTCATCAACAGACGGGTAAGCAAATTGTGGGGTAGTATTACTCTGCCATCCAAAGGAAGGTGGAACGGATTCATGCCACCACATGGGTGACACTCTAGAATATGATGCAGACTGAAAGAAGCCAGCCACAAAAGGTCTCACGCCGTCTGATGCCTCGGAGGTGAACTGTCTAGAATAGACACAGTCGACCGTACGATTGTCTAACTCAAACAGGCCAGTACGATTGTCCAGGTTCTCTGTTACCAAGCATTTCATTTTATTTATTTCTGACCACTTCCGATTTTCCTAGATTCATACTCAGCAAATCCCATGTTCCAATTACGATGAGTGTTTGTAGCTCTTTCCGCCCCTTTTGCGCCACATCAGCAAGGGAGGGGCCAAGAAACTTTCCTCTGTTCATGCCAGTGAGATTAATTTTACATCGAGAAGGCAGCTCTTGTCGGGTCCTATCCGAGCGCTTTCCAACAGGGGCCCATCGTTCTACACTGTGTCAGACAATGGGCCACTGCGATTCCTGTGGTTTTCACTGGCTAATAATTTTAGGGGGCCCATCGTTCTACACTGTACCAGACAATGGGCCACTGCGATTCCTGTGGTTTCCACTGGCTAATAATTTTAG